TCGTACTAGTGTGCACTGGAGTCAGAGAGGAATTGTAACCGAAGCCTGCACTGAAATCTATTTTTGCCTTCATATAAAACTTAAAATGGAGTAATTGTTTGCAACATACTAATTCACTAAATTGTGATGGAGGCTGTCAAGCAACACTGTAGAGTCTTTCCACTGCACATGTACAGGCAAATTTTTCCTCATGCACAGAAGTCTTTGAAGGAAATTTTGAAGGAAACAATTTCTGCCAGGATTACCTCACACAGTTTTACCTTACACATATATTTCTTTTGGATGATTCATCTTGTTTCCTTTCAGCATGTGAATCCGTAGGAGTTTATAGCTTTATGCACACTAACTCAGTGGATTAATCTCAATGGATTAGCTGTATCATGAATTAACTGTAATGCAAGCAGAAAATATACAGCAGTGTTCATGTAGTGCTGTGTAGACTTACAGTTCAGGCAGCTCAAATTCATGCACTGCACAGTTATTAAAATCAAGTTCTTTCTCTTCTTCTTTTCCCGCAATTACCCTGCATATATGAGACTTTTTCATATACAGACCCCCCAACAGTTCTCTAGAGTATCTCTGGTGCTTTCAATAAGCCCTGGAATGCTCCTCACAGCTAGATGTAGGGAGAGGGGCCAAAAGAGAAGTGCACATTTGAGTGAATCATCTCTGAGCCTTCTGCAGAGTCATCTGACACTCCCTGAGGCTGAATATTTCCTCTGCACTGGGATTTTAAAGAAAGCCTGAGGCTGCATTTCTTTAAGCAGTTGAGCTGCTCTAACAGCCTGCTGCCTCTGAAAGGGGTGCTTTTATTCCTCATCTCCTTCGTTCTGTGGCTGGCCCTTCCTTCCATGAATTTATTTGGCTCGTTACCCAAGAAGATAGCCACCAGTTTTCTTTTTCTTAATTATTCTTCCTCTGGGCTAACAGGCTCTGTATGCTGATGGAGCTAGAAGATAGCACCAGAGGTGTGATGGGTGGTGAGGTGCAGAGTGGAGTATGTACAAATGGACTCCTTGGCAGGGGCAACCTGGGGAGCAGCTCAGCCCCTGTGCTGGGATCACACCTGTCTGGTGCTCTTTGGGGCGCAGCTTGGCTGCCTATGGAGGAGCATCTACTTCCCTGGCACTGGTGCAGACTCTTGGCAGACTCCAGGGTGAGTCAGCCACAGACCTTAACTGAATAGGCAATTAAATACCACAGAAAAGATGAGCAGCTTTTTTGCAGCCTTCATTTCCTAAGCTAGCTACCTGTGGACTTACAGAAGAGCCAGGCCAACACAAGGGAGCAGGTGAGCAAAGCAACCAGACCAGGTCCAGTGCTGTCTCCAGGAAGGCTGAACAACCACCTGTATCTTTCCCCAGTCTTGCTTCCCAAGGGAAACCTACAACAGACTTTCAAAAGATGAGCCTAAAAACTGAAATACCTAATTCTGCAGACTCTAATGATTGCAAGCCCATTTTATGCATTTCACAGAGCAATGAAATTTGCTTCCCACACACTTCAGAATGCCACAGGTGCTCTCATGACGTTGCTTCTCCCCTTGCTAGCTGTCCCTGCTGTCCCACAGTACAAAGACTGGGGCTGATTCAGTATAGAATTGTATAATGGTTTGGGTTGTGAAGGACCTTAAAGATCGTTTAGTTCCAACCCCCCTGCCATGGACAGCGACACTTTCCACTAGACCAGGTTGCTCAAAGCCCCGCCCAGCCTGGCCTTGAACACTGCCAGGGAGGGGGCAGCCACAACTTCCGTGGGCAACCTGTTCCAGTGTCTCACCACCATCACAGTGAAGAATTCTTCCAGATACCTAGTCTAAATCTAGCCCCTTCAGTTTGAAACCATTGCCCTTGTCCTACCACTTAAATCCTTAATAAAGACGCCCTCTTTCCTTTAAGTCCCTTTTATGTACTGGAAGGCCACTGTAAGGTCTCCCCGAAGCCTTCTCTTCTCTGGGTTGAACAACCCCAACTCTCTCAGCCTGTCCTCATAGGGGAGGTGCTCCAGCCACCTGATTGTCTTTTGTGGGCCTCTTCTGGAACCACTCAAGCAGCTCTGTGTCTTTCTTGTGCTGGGGGCCCCAGGGTTGAACACAGTACTCGAGGTGGGGTCTCATGAGAGTGGACTAGAGGGGGAGAATCACCTTCCTTGACCTGCTGGCCACACTTCTTTTGATGCAGCCCAGAATGTGATTGACCTTCTGGGCTGCGAGCACACATTGCTGGCTCATATGCAGTTTTTCATCCACCAGCGCCCCCAAGTCCTTCTCCTCAGGGCTACTCTCAATCCACTCATTGCCCAGCCTGTATCTGTGCTTGGGATTGCCCCGACCCAGGTGCAGGACCTCACACTTGGCCTTATTGAACTTCATGATGTTGGCCTGGGCCCACCTATCCAGCCTGTCAAGGTCCCTCTTTATGGCCTCCTTTCCCTCCGCCATGCTGACCATACCACACAGCTTGGTGTCATTGGGAAACCTGCTGAGGGTGCAGCAACCCTGCTGTCCATGTTGCTGACAAAGATGTTAAATGTGTCAGTCCCAATACTGACCCTTGAGGAACACCATTTGTCACTGTTCTCCATTTGGATGTCACACTGTTGATCACAACTCTTTGAGTGCGACCATCCAGCCAATTCCTGATCCGCTGAGTGGTCCATCCATCAAAGGGCTGAAGATGAAATTTGTCACAGAGCAGCTGTCCCTACCCAGGCTGCCCTGGAGCTTTGCTCAGGGCTAGAGAGGAAGCTGCAGAAATGTTGTCTTTCTTTTGTCAGCAGATTGCTTGATCTATTGGGAGCAGTGCCTTTCCAACAAACCTTATCTCTGTGTGTAATAAGTTGTGCAATGTTCAAAGAAGAGTCTTGGATGATGCAGAAAGGTGAGTTTGCTAATGAGAGTGGGTCTAATTGCAGAGCAGATGTGTGATCTGGGGAGCCAGCTCTGAGCACAGCCTTTTGGGGCAGCGTTGGCAAGGGTGGGTACCCTGTTAGCATAACTGGGTTGGGACCTTTATTGGTGCAGGTATGCTGTTTGGTCACCAACTTCAGAGGAAAACAGCTTTATTTTTATTTTTTAATGTGATGAATATAGTAGCTTGAGGGTGGAGCTGCGATTGGATCCTAGGCTTGCTGCTATCAGTTGTGCAGCATCAGGCTGTAAACAGGCACAATTTTCTGAGGACACTTTTGCAGGTGCAAAACCTCCTAAAGGCAGATTTGTACATGACTCTTCCCCAGCACGCAATTGTGGGGTGGAGGATTAATTTGTGCAGCCAGAAGGAGGAAGTCTGTAATCCATGTATCATGTTTGGAACAGATTGATACGAACTATCATTTTAAATGTTGGTGATGCAACAAATGCTTTCTGTTTATGTCTGATTGTAGGAATGACAAGTATGTGCATTCATTCATAAGCTGCTCTTGGGGATAGTTTCATTATCAAACACAGGCAGTCACATACGATGAGTAACCTTCCCCATCCATCTCCTAAATTAGGAGTCACTTAAAAAGAGTTTATTAAAAAGTAGCACTGGGTTCTTATCTCAATTGCTTTCTGATTTTTGAACGCTTACACTTTACATTTTCACGCTTCACTTCAAGCTACATTGCTTTCCTAAACGAACATGGTGATTGAGACTCAGAGAGCTGAGATTTTAAAAAGAAGAAATCATGTATTTCCAAGAAAAAGAGCCAGCCCCACTGACTTATAAATAGTCTAGCAGGTCTCCTTACAACCACCTCACCACAACACTTTGTGTGTCTGGGCCTAGAGCAGTTACAACTCTTCATGTCAGCAATGGTGACAGTGTGACCTCATGACCCATGTCTGAGAAAACCCAGCCACCTGAGTTCTTTCCCATGTGCAGCCAAAAGAGTTACCTGACGCTGATGAGAGGGTCTTGGTGATGGTATCTGCAGGCACAGATGGCATTTGCCATCTGGAAGCAGAAAGTCTTAGTCCTTAGGTGGGATAGAGCCAAGCCCATGAGTTGCGCAGGAGAGAAATGCCTGATTATAGGTGAACGGTCCTCAAAGTGCAGAAAATATGGTAGGATTAAGCCAGAGGTGAAGGGTTCAGGGATGAGCTGACATGGAGGAGACTGGTGGGAGAGCGCTGTAAATTTTTTTATTGCCTTTGCCCTCTGTGGCCCATAATTAACATACAACAGGAGTTATACACAGACTGCTGTGCTAGCACAGTGCTGAATCTCACAACCTGAGCTTCCACATCATCCGAAGGCTCTTCTAACTCAAGAGGGCTCTCTGGGCAAGGGACACCAGGAAGCCCCAGAGTCCTCCCCGATCCTGTGTAGGTGTCGCCAGGGCCAGAGGTGATTTTCCTACTGGGCTCAGAGTGTGTCTCAGGGGAGGACACTCAGGGGGTGCTAGCCCCAGAGGTATGCTTCATGTCAGCCCACCTCTGAAATGATGTTTTGGATGCCGTGGGGCTGCGGCAGCTGGTGCTGATGCTGTGAGGGAACATGTGGCCTATGGTGCCCTGTGCAGAATGTGTCCCAGGCCTGAGCTCTTCAATGTGCAGCAAAGACAGGAGGGAGACAACTGACCACAGCAGAGGCTGCTCTAGGGGCATGGTGGTCTCCCCTCCTCCTGCCTGCTGCTGCCTCATGGGAGGCACATGCTATGGCTGTGATGTTAGGCAGGAGCAGATGCTGTGAAGTGTAGTGCCATAATAGAGGGGTGACCCACACGTGAGGCCATGGGAGCAGAAACCTTACTGTCCTGGCACTACCCTGGATGAACCACCGCCTGTCCCCTGGGCACAGAGCTACAGGGGCTGGGGACTGCCACTGACCCTATCACAAGGTGTGGGACCATGTAGTGTGGGCAGCCCCTTGAAGAGGGAGTGACACAGTTGTCACCCTGGAGGCAGGGAGGGCAAGGAGGGCCACCTCTTGGGACCCTTTGGCTGCTGGAGAGGCAGGGAGAGATGCCAGTGCCAGGGGTAGCAGGTCTGTCCCATCCTCATCCCTGCTGAGGGCTCAAAAGAGGCCTGTGGAGCCGAGGGGAGCGAGGATGACAGGGGCATCAGGTGGGGTGAGGATGGGTGTTGTGTCCGATGTGGTCTCTTCAGTCTCACTCTCCACATCCTCCAAGCTCTCACTGACAGAGGGGATGATCTGCACCACCTTCTCCTGGAAGTGCACTTGCTTGCGTGGGGCTGGTGGGGCTGCTGGTTGGGCAGGAGCTGCTGGGGTCGGGTTCCTGTCCTTGCTACCCTTCAGGATGCTCTTCATGTGGCCCAGCAGTGAGTGGTGCTGCTCTCTCTGGGCCCCATGGAAGGTGTAGGTCTGTTCAGTGTCACCAGCGACAGTTGGGGCTGCTGCGGTGGCTGAAGGGTCCACATACTGGCCTGCCTGCGGATGAGTCTCTTCCTTGTGTGCTGGGATCTTCCTCCTCTTGCTCAGCAGGAAGTAGGCCAGGGCAGTGAGCACTAGCATGGACCCTGGGGAGAAGGCCATGTTGTCTGAGAGCTGGAGCAAGGCAAAGACCTCACCAAGCAGTGCTTGGTCTAGCTAGCTCAGTACCATCTGCGACCAGTCCAGCACCCCGCACATCCCCACCCTCTCTGGCCCTCTTCCGTCTGCACTACTCCCCACCCCAGCATGGGCTCCTCACCAGGGATGGTGACGTGCCAGACGAGGATGGGATGCAGAAAGCAAGCCACTGAGAGGAGTGTGTACCCCAGGAATTTCTGGAAGCTCCCTGGGCGTCTAGCTCGCTTCCAGCAGGCCTGTGCCAGGGAGTCAGGCTCATACCTGGGGAGAGAAACAGAGGTCTTTGTGGGATGGAGCCCCAAGCACATGGCAAGAAGTTTTGGACCTAACTATCACCCATCTAGATGTGCAGATCCTCACTCTGATTTTCCAGGAAACCGGTGTGTTAGTCAAGGAAGGTAAGCAAAGCTTGAGCCTCTCCCATGGGGCTACATCTGCTAGAGGTCAGCATCTCAGGCCATCTCTCCTTGGTGTGTTTGCCCACTTGGCCACTAGTCGAGTGCCTATTAGCTGGAATAAGCTGTTGCCTTAAACTATCAGGGCTTTTGAGTTTATGCTAAAAGACAGCAGAAGTGCTCAGCCTCTGAGAGGTATGTAAGGATTTCCTACATTTTAACATAAACTTCTGTGCTGTCTCTGGGAGGGAGCTGCAGCTCACCCTGGGGATCTTGGTCTTGGGAACTTGGTCTTCCCTCAACCTTGGTCCCTTGGAGGCCAGTGTACTGTGTGCTAAGCAGATGCTGCAGACCAGGGTTTGTCGTGCTGATACTCAGCAATTATTGCACAAGCTTGGGTTAAAACATAGGTTTAATTGCCTGTGGACATGGTCCCGCTTACCTCCCCCCTGCCTGAGTGCACTTGCAATGGCATTAGGGGCAGGACCTTTAGTCCGGCACTTGCAGCTTAGCTAGGTGTTGCATGTAAGGGGCAAGTTGCCTTAGGGAGGTCCCACCAAGGCTGGAGAAGACTGGACAGGGTCTACTCACGTGAAGCACATCTCCAGGAACAAACAGATAAAGAAGAAGCCTTCACAGACAGTAACTGCAACCCCTGAAAAACTGAAAGGTGGAGCTGTCAGGGGGGCAGGGCTGGGCTTGAGTGTGCTCTCCAGGTGGCAGAAGGGACTTAGAAGACCAGGATTTACTATTCAGTTCATAACAGAGTCTGTGTGCTGGGGTCTGAACACCCTCTGCTTGGCTGGTTAGTGGAGCAGAGCTCAAAGCCCTTCTGTCCCCAGGGGGTCAACTTGCAGCCAAGCCAGTGTCAGTGCTGGCCTGCCTGATTCTCAAATAACATGGGTGATGCAGTAGCATCACTTTCTCTAACAGAAATAGCTTACTTTTCTGAAACCTAAATATGGAGATCTGAATTCCCCAAAGCCTTGGACACTGCTCCCTGCTGCGGTTGCAGTCTAGTGTGGTGCTATGTATGGTGGAGGGGCTGAATGTGTCACCCCCATCAGCTCTGATTTCAAGGGCAAAAATACTCACAGCAGATAGAAAGCCAGGCTTTTGAACTGTCCTCGCTGCAGAGTTTCTACACCCACACCGATCAGCACTAGAAAGAGAAGGTAGGAAAGATGCTGACTGAAGGGTTCATTCCCGACTCTCTGGTGCCCTACCAGCTCCCAGGATTGATGCCCTGGTTTCCCCAGGGGCTGGTGAGGCTGCTCCTCCCATGCTGTGCAGCACGTTAGGATTGCCAGCACCAGTGGTTCATGCTGACACACCAACCCAGGGCTGTCAGAGCTGAATGCTGACATTGACATACAGCCCAGAAACCCATCCCAGCTGCATGCCTATCACGACAGACTGGTCACTGCGTGGGCTGAGGAGAGGTGCTCTGGGGATACCAGTTGACCTTGGGCAGCTGAAGAAGATGAGCAGCAGTGTGCTGTGTCCCTTCCATCCTCCTGCCACACCACTCCATCATGGCTGCTACAGGCACTTCCATCCCACTGCCCCATCCACCTCTGCCCCCTCCCAGTCTGGGGATCTCTCTGTCCAGGTACCCCCAGTGACTGCCAGCTTCACTCCCCTGCCCTCCCTTCTTGCCCAGGCCTTCTGCACCCAATACACAGCTTCAGGGCAGCAGCAGGACAGGAAACCATGCCAGCTGCCTTCAGAAAGGGCCGTAGCCATGGCATCAAATTCCTTTTCTAGCCAAACAGAAAAACATATAACGGGAGTAGGCAGATTAAAAACAGCGAATGAACATCCCCTCAGTGCCCCGGCCAGCACAGCACACTGGGAAGTCAGTTTAAGAGGGATTAAGAGTATTAGCGAGGCTAAAACCTTCCTCGGACTGGCCGCTGGGGGCCAATAGCTTCAGGGGATGAAAAATTTCCTTCAACATCCTTCAATTCCCCACAAGACTATTTCCAAAATGGAGCAGAAACAAAGTGCCTCGCACCAGCTGCAGCAAGTTAATCAGTTTGTGACCGGCCAGTCACAGTGCACAAGTGCCAGCGGCGTAGAGCTGAGTGAAGCCCAGGTCCCATGGCCAGGGCATCACTCTAGGCACTCACTGCACTCCTGTCTTCACTTGATGTCTCCACGTCTCACCGAGCAGTCCCTGCCCAGCCACTGGTGCTCAGGAAGTTCACTCAGGTCCTGCTCAATCCATGCTGGCCAAGGCCTGAGGTGCCAATTAGGTTCATTTATCTGAGCTGTGGTTTGCTCCAGCCGGAGAAGAGTACTGGACTCCCAAACATGCAGGCAGGCCAGTGTCCATCAAGCCTGTGAGGTGGATCAATGCTGAGGGTCTGTGCCTGAGCACACAGCTCTCCTGTCCTGGCTGAGCAAAGTCCCGCTGGGGTGCTGTGGTCTTGTTTTTGTTCCCTGTGTCACCTGCAGCTGCTGGTCCCTGTCAGCCAGGGGAACGCATGGGGCCAACATGCCACCATCTTCCATGGAAGCTGTCTCTCCAGCCCCAAGCAGAGGCATGGGGAAATCAGTCTCATCAGAGGGCTGTGAAGCTGTGTGAGCTGTGTAATCCTACATGCAAAGTACTGTTCTTTGCTATCTCATGACTGAGAACCCTTCTTTATAACCTTCCCTACAAATGTGGAGTTCATTTGTTCATTCATTCATTCCCTGCAGATGAATGCAGAATTCAAGAGCTCAGCTGTTATGCTTGAGTCTCTGCTCTGGATGGAGAGGTTTCCTCATTTTTCACAGCTTCTGCTTTATCCACAAAGCTGTTTGGATGAAGAATCTGCAAGAAGCAAAGGGTTGTTTCCGTGGTGTTTGTTTGGAGTAGTTGCTGCCTTGATTTGGAGCTTATCCAAACCATGTGGCTAAAGGCACATGATTAGGAATTAAATGGTTGAAAGCATGAGAATTAAGAAATAAGTAAGGACTCTCTCCTAGATGCAGAAATCACAAGGTCTAAAATCTCTGCACTACAGACATGCCCCAAACACTGCAGTGAACCGCAGAGCTGTTTGACCACTCTTCGCTAACTCGCCATGAGGATCTGCCAACAGCAGAGCTGTCTGATTTCTCATACACAAGAAGCCCTGTAGCCCCACCATTGCAGACAGCCATTCCACTTCAAGATCCTGGGGGAAGGGGAGATTTATATTGTGTGGGTAACCTCCTGTATTTGCAAGCAGCTTATGAAGCTGGCCAAGCTCTCTCAGAATCAATTAGTGAGGCTGATGCACTCTCCTCTCCTTTTCATATTCCTTTTTTTCCCCAACAAAACCCATGGGATTCTCTTCTGCATGGTTTCCATTTCATGCAAAAACCTCACACACCTCATCAGGCACTAAACACTGCATCAAGCTGTTTTCTTACTCCACTGAGACACATAGAAGAATAAAACACAGTCATCTTCCATTCTTCATTGGCCTTTTGGGAAAGTCAGGTGATACTGGGAATGCATCAGAGCTATGGAAAAGTACGGAGATCAGTAGTGCAGCTGTCTACCCTCTGTGATGCTCAGCAGAGAGACAACTGCACTGCTCATTTCAAGAACTACAGAAAGAGGTGCAGATGATGCAAAATGTTTAAAAGAAAACAAGCAGGAGAGAGAGATTATATTCCACTAAGACACTTCCAAATTGTAAGCTACTTTTAATTTTGCTGTTCTAGCTTTAGTTTTCCCATGGCAAAAAGCTCGTCTTTTCTCCCAGGAAGGTCTCTATGACTTTCCTTGGAGCTTTAAGAGAGAGTAAGACCAGCATGGGGCTCATGTAGGCCTGAGGGGAATGGGGATGAAGGAAGGAAGAGATTTGCATTTGCTAGTTAAGGCTGTGTCCCAGCTCCTATCTGTTGCAGTCTCATCATGATGTGCACTTATTTACTGGGAGTTTGTATAAACTCAAGAGACTCCAGTCTCTGCCTGTTATCAGTCATTTAAAGCACATTCCAAAGCACAGCCTCCAGCATCCCAGCTGGGCTTTGGGTGTCCTTGGGGACCTGTTGGAGCTTCAGCTGACCTGTGTGCTTTCTACTTTGCCCCTGACTTGAGCAAAGTGTCTCTCATGGCTGTCTGCAGCTGATAAACAACATGCGAAAGCCTGCTGTGACCTACACTGCAGTGTCTGAATCTGAAATTGCTGGGGGTCTGACAGGGGAACCACAGATACCACCTCAACTCACCTCTCACCAGGAACCTCTAGTTCATACCTCCAGCCTTTAGGCAAATCAGTCACTTTGATCTCTGCTTTACTGATGTGGAAACAGAGACAGAGAGTGCTGTCCTGTCCCGTAACAGCGAGTCAGCCACAGTGCCAGAGTGAGTCCCTGAGCCCTCTGCATTAGTTGTTTTCCCATGTCCCATCCAGGGATGCCCCATGTGGTGGTTATTCATCACAGTTCAGTCCTTCCAGGTGAGATGCTATGCCTAAGAAATTTGGCTCAAAATAACTGCATTTCACTTGAAATGAAGCGCTTTAACGTGTAACCAAACCCAGAGGACACAGGTCCCAAGCAGCCCCTGCAGGATGCAACTAAGTGGGTGAATTTATGATGTTTGTACTGCAGCTATAAGCTGGACTGCTTCCTGAGCCTGCTCCCTGACAGGTTGCTAGAGAGCAGAGCAGCGCTTTGGCAGTAAATGTACCTTGATGGCTGGGACCTCTCCATCCTGCCTAGCACAGGACAGGACTGCACACAGTACCAGGAGCTCTTCCTTCATTTTCACATCCCGCAGAGCAGCCTGGCAGCCATGAGTATTTTGCTTTTCAGTCTCATTCACATCTTGCCTGTGCCCACGTGTGTTTCACAAGCATATAATTTAATTTTCTTTTCTGTTTGTGCTTTAGCTAGTCCCCTGCCACACTGAGTGCTGGCTATTCCTTTCTGATACCTCACTGTGTGTCCCACAGCATTTGGAAAGAGCCTGGCCAGGCATCCAGCATGCTCCCTCCCTGGGTCCCAAAGCAAAAGTGAGCAAGTTTCCTTGTCCCCATCATAGGATGGGGCAATGGCTGCACCTGGCCAAAGGCAGGGAGATAGTTCAGGGACCCTGATACCCACTCAGTGCCTTTTACTGCCAAAGAAATAGAGAGCTCAGTCTTACCTGCTGCGGTGGAGATGCCCAGCAATCGACAGGTGTACTCCAGGGCTCTCCAAAACTCATTGTGCCGCATGATAATGAGATGAAGATGGTGGTGCCGAACAGGCAGAAGCTCCTCTTCAGAGCTCCCACCTCACACGTAGCCCAGCAGCTCCCAGCTGCAGTCAGAGTCTCCCACACCCAGGACCAAGTGACCTTCCTGAAGGAAAGGGCAGTGCCTGCAGGACTGGCCACCTCCACCGGGGCCTCCCAGGGGAGGGTGGTCGAAGAGCAAGCTGCCACCACAGGGAACCGGTCAGCACTGCTTCCCACTGCTCCTGCGGGGGCTGCAGAGACTTGGCCTTTTCCTGCTTGCTTGCTGCTTGCTTGGTTGCCTGTCCAGCAGTGACTAATGATTGGTAAGGGGGGAGCGTGGCTTTGGGAGCATTTGCACCCAGGGTGCACAGCCTTTTCTGCTCCCGAGGAGGAGGCTCTGGAAGCCCAAGCTGATTAAATGCATGTGAAGTCATTAGAGCTGTGCAGCTCCCGGCAGGTTAACCATTTGTGAGGACAGCGATGTTTGCTCTTGGTGAGAGAGTGGCATGTTTCTGGCATGTCACGAGGCTCCCAGGGCATCCCAGCCCTGCTGCCTGCGGCAGCTGAGCCCCCCACCACGGCTGCTGCTCATCATGCAGGTTTTGCCAGGCTCTGATTAGTATGGCTTGGGTAATGTCTGGGCTGATGTGCAACCACAGGAACAAGGAGATGAGATCTATTCCCAAAGGTCCCACAGACCCAAGCCGATTAGAGCAGGCAGATGTGTATTTCTCTTCTTAGGAACTGCAGTGAAACCTATTTTTGTGTTGTAGTCACCAGAGCCATTTGAGCGGCACCAGGGTTGCACAAGTGTCCTGACCTGTGGAGTGGGTGCATAGGCACTCTGATCTCTTTGTATTGGATTTGGTAGACAGCTTGAGGGTCCTTGGCTTGTCTCTGCAGGACACACCACCTCTGGAGAGGGGCAGCCATAGGTATGTCTGAAAGCCAAGATGGGACAACACTGGTCTGCTCTGGATCCCAGTCCCACATTCCTCTGTGTTTGAACATGGTGCACTTCACTGGTGGTCATCGATTCGATCCCCCTCTGCTGCTGCCCAGGGAAGACATGGTGTTGGCAGCAGCATCTGGTCATTGCAGTCCCAGCAGGAGGGGCATGTGAGCCACAGCACAGCCCCAGTGGGCAGCACGGGTGCCTGGTGCCTGCGGGGCCGTGGGTTCACAGGTCAGTGAGCTCACCTTGTGCCGTGGCCAGCGTTGGGCGAGCCACTGCAGCCCCTGCCCCTCGCTGCGCTTGCTGCGAAGCCGGCAGCAGTGTGGGCAGGGGACTGGGTGAATCACGCTCAGCTCATGCACAGTCAGCCCTGCAGGGAGAGGGCAGCTGGCTGAGCCTTTCTCCCATGATCTCTTCTCATCTGCCCGAGACCACAAAACTGAGCCCAGCCAGTATGTGTTGCAGTGATGTGTAGAGGCAGGGGTAGAGATGACTTGGTCCAAGGGCACAGCAACAGCTTTTGTTTCACAGAACCTTATTCTCTATTTCAAGCTGGGATTTTCCCAGGACAGCCAAATACCTGAGCTCATGAAATGGGTCCTTAATTCCTGTAAATAACTGCAGATAGCATTTTTCTGAACACTTAAATGGTGGTGGGTGGCAGGGATTTTGCAAGAGGGAAAGCTGACAAGGTTTGGGGGCATAGCACACTTTCCATGTGAAAAAATGAAAAGCCCACTGGAGAAGGGCTTGCAGAGCACCCTGAGGGGCAGTGCTGAATAGTGCAGACCCAAAATGTGTCTTTGCCTTGCAGCACTGGCACTGCCTTTGGGTGTTCCCATTTCCTCTTGTCCTCTTGCATCACCCCGGGTGTTTGAAGGAACTACAGGTTTTCCACAACTGACGACTCAGTGATGTGCTGAAACTTCCTTTTCAAGAGAGACACAAAGAGGAAAACAGAGGCACACCAGTGCAGAAGGTCACACGAAGACTGAGGAAAAGCCCAGCTGGGGCACCCTGCCACCCTGCCAGCTGCGGCTGGGCACCGCCTGGGTGATCCCACTGCCCTCTCATGGTGCATCACTGCAGGCTCCAGGAGTGCCCTCCGCTTACAGAAATCACCAAACCATCTTAAGTGCGTCATGAGTCTGCATGGTTTTTTTCCTTGCTGCCTTTTTTCTTTTTTTAACATTGATATATTAAATTTCAGGTGTTTCTCTACAAACATGAAAGCTAGAAAACTACTTGAAGAGCAAATATATGAAAGGAAGATGTAAGAGTCTTTCAGAATCCCTTAAAGCCACAAGCTTAGGCTTGAAGAAAAGCAGCAAACACCACAGTGCAGTCCTGAACTCTGTCAGCACCCACCCTTCAGCAGCACCCAACACCTTGCAGTGCAGCAAGCTCCTGTCTTCTCTCATGGTGGGGTTCCCCATTGCCAACAGCAGCGCACTGGGCTGTTACTCTGGAGCTCTTACTAAACTGCACTGAGATCTCACCCAGAAACTAAATGACTTTGTCTAAGTGCCCTTGACAGCAATGTTTTCTTTCTGAAAAGCAACAAGCCCCAGGGTTTAAAATAAATGCAAATTTATGGGGGGTGGTGATGGAGGAACAGAATCTATCTGGGAAAGGCAAATTAATACGTTAACAATTTAAACCTTCCATCTCCTTCCCATGTTTGCTTAGCTACTGCCCAGTCTCCATCCTCTGCGTAGCTCTACATCAGCATTCCTGAGGTTTCTACTCCCCCACCTGGGGACACCCTTAGCGGGGGGTAACTTGGGGTCTCCACTTGCTGTTCATCAGTGCACTAGTGCTTCTCTCACTCCAGTGCCCAGGAAGGGAGCATGGGGTGAGCAGGACAGGTATCCTCAAACTTGCTTTGTTCTCCTTTAGCAACTCCTTTGTTCCATTTAGGAATTTTTGGCTAGTGCTCCTACAAAGCAACCTCACATGAACCTGATTTTTCTTGGTAGAGGGGTCCCTTCTCATTCTGCCTCTGTTCAAGTGGGGAGATGACACCCTCAATGAATCTGTGAGCTATTTGAGTGTGTTTTGGTGAGGTTTTTAGGAATGAGTTTATGCAGTTGGAAGAGGACTGAAAACTTACGACATTAGAGGGGTTTAATAGTCTGTAACCAACACTGCAAAGCCTATGCACCAGCACAGTCTGTTCTGGGACACATAATAGGAGTGGTCCCCACTGCACTTTAAGCCACTTCTCTTGCATAGAGATTTGCCATTTGCACTTTGGCTGCCAGCCAGGATTCACATTTACAGGCTGCTTCCAGTGATATATGGGTTGATTTGAGAGGATTTTATTTCAGTGTTAGGGTTTCATGGTGGTGTTAGTCCTGATCTTCATCCCTCCCTACTCACATTTTACTCTAGTCATTTTACTGTGGCATGGCCACTGTGACTATTCTGTGACCAGTGGCACAGCACAGCATTTGTGCTGAGCAGCCACCCTTGGAAGGCTGCGAGGGAGAAGCACACACCTCATGCCTTGCCTCTGTGAAATGATGATACTGCAAGAGTGCTGCGGTGAGCAGAGATTCCCGTCATGGGGTGTAGGGCACCACAAGCTTTGGCAAAAATCTATGGGAACATGCTTGACTTATTCAGCTATTCTCACTCCCTGCCCATCATGTAAAAACAGTTCTCAAACTGCTTTGCACAAAGCTCTAGAAATTTGTTTCTGCTATTTCCCCTGCGTCCTTTCTCTAAGCCCTCAGCTATAACCACCATGTCGAGCAGCCTTCCTTGGCAGCCTTAGTCCCCTCCCTGAGCTGTAGCAGCAGAGGTGAGATCTCCTTCCACCAACGTGCTCATCTGAGACAGACTGACACCAATGCTCTCCCTTGGCCACCAAAGGACAGGCAGCCAGCAGGCAACTGCCCAGAGCCTTTGCAGAGGTGCCATGTGCTGCCTCCCTGTACCCGCCTTCCACCAGGTCACCTGTCATGAAGAGGAAACAGATTTTCATGAGAACCAGCTCATGGTAGATGGACCCAGTTGATTGGAAGCACCAATGAATTGCAGCTGTGTTTTCACTGGGTACAAACATCTCCTTGCATTCAGCATGAGTTTTGCTCTGCCTTGTATCACTAGTGGTCCACAGTGTTCCAAACCAATCTGAAAGAACTGAGAGCATCCTGAGGTGAGTTTGGCAGACCTCCCTCCCCTCCTGGGGCAGCGACAACACATGATGCTAGGGAGCCTGAAGCTACATAAACAACAGAGCTGGAGAGTAAATTGTAAGTGTGCCCCCTCTTCCTTTGGTGTAGCCCCTAAATCATGCCCTCTGAAGTCTTGAAACCTGGGGCAGTGCTGCAAGGCGTTCTGGGGATGCCCGGCAGGGGACAGCAGGATCCCACCGCTGCACTTACAGCCCAGCTGCTCCCTGCAAAAGGCAGGCTGTAGCCAGCCCTCTGCAAGGCGGTGGTGAAAGTTTTACTGTCTGAACAAGAAGAGCATGATAGACACCACATGGATCTAAAGGGGGCTGGGGAGAGCTCAGAGCCACAGTGAACACGAATCAATAACTGGCCTGTTTTGCTTTATGCTCTGCGATCAAAGGGTGTCTGACATGCTGCTGAACACTCGCCCGCTCCTCTGGGAATTTCCCACCCCACCAGGGATGGGGTCAAGGCTCAGCGTTATACTGCCCTGATTGTCCTGCATCAGGACAGCCAGACCCAGAGGCTGAGCCAGCAGAGACAGTAAGCTGGAGGGGCTGGTGAAGGGCTTTTGTGCTCACAGCCTCTCCTGGGGACCTTCTCGCTGCTGGCACGGAGGAAGAGGCACTGCCTTATGCCTGGTGATGGTCGGCGGGTGAGCTCTCATCCAGGTGTCTGGCATTAATAAAGCCCATCACACTGTTGTGCAGGATGGCATGGGGGTGCTGCCAGGGGAAGAGAACAGAGGTTGGTGCCTCTGTGGCACAGGCAATCATAGGCAGAAACTGGATGTAGTACATCTAATGTGCTTGTGGGGATCTCGCTGACCTCCAAAGCACCTGATACGAGGTGGAGGAGGGC